GAATTGTTGGTGATACCAGCAATGTTGAGGATTGGAGCTGATTGGCGGGTGGTTTCTGTGGGTTTGCGAAGTCCAGCTACTTCGAATTCGGTTGGATGACCGTGAGCGGGAGAAGTGAAGAACCAATTGCTGCATCTGCAATTCAAGGTTTCCCATTCTTAAAGTGATATCATCACAGCGAGGGGCGAATGGGGTTGGGTTGGAGCAAGCGGTGATGTGTTGCGAAGCTGGGTTTGTTTCGAAAATTTTATCCGTGGCCATTGCCATGTCATCCAAAAACTGTTGGAAAGGACGGATAAAACTACCCCGATGCGTGGAGGGAGACGCTTCATCCAAAGTTGGCGGAGGATGGCATCATAAAGTACGCCGGTATCAAAGAGTTGCCGCGTGTGTTGCAACAACTGGGACGGGGTGGGGTCGCCGATTTCGAGGTCCCCAAACAACTCATCCAATCGGCGTTCAGCCGACACAGCTGTGTGGGTGATTAATGCTTCCTTTAACTGAGAGGTCATTCTTTGGCATGGTGATGATAAACTTGAACGCTTGTTTCGCAATGTCTGTGGGCAGGGAAGTAACTACGTGGGAATACATAACCGTTAAGCGGCGGATGCAGTGGACACGAAAATCGGCTTCGGATTGGGCGAACCAAAACTGGGGGGTTGTTAATACCACATGCGGGTAATTTGATGTGAGAAGACATGGGAAGGTCCTCTATGTCGAATTTTTATTGCCCCAATTTTTAAAACGTACAGTAACCAAAAATTATTATGCGAAATTCCTGAAGAACCCGCAGAAAAATATGAACCTAGAGATGATCTCAACACGGGCTCACCAAATATGTAGTGGAAAAGATAGTACATTTACGAATAATCATGAAATAAACGGCACATGGAACGGACTCACAGAAGGATTGTCCGGCTAGTTGATTGGTCCTGTTCTTCGGATATGTGACTCCGGTTGATAGTGTGCAGTACTGCTGAAATGGATGGCTGCGACAGTTAACGGATCGCTTGACGATAACTGATAATGTACGCGTAATGCTTCAGCAACACTTGGTGAACACGTGCACTGTTACGAACAGAATTTGTAATGTGCTATTACTCGTTGTACATATTAAAACAAGCTGTATGGTCATGTCAGATAAAAGTGGATGAAAAAGTAAGACACGACAGATGTGGTCACTCTAGCCCAAAGAGCAATGCTGTTGAATTGTGTCCGTGAGGTGACTATCAGCTGTTATGACAAGGTCTAGCGCTGAAGGGGATTGCCCGTTTCTGAATCTGGTTGGGCTTGTGACGTGCTGAGACAGCTCTGTGACCAGATAGACTAGTAGCCTTCAGAATGTATTATTCGAAGCGTGTAGTCTGCGCCAATCTATTCCTGGAGCGTTGAAGTATCCAGTTATTAGAAGGTGGGTATTGGGGCGCATAAATCTTAAGCTATTCCGTTGTTCTTTCAGAAGTTGTGATTCTAGCTCACCGGAGAAGGGTGAGCGTTAGACTACTCCTAGCGCCAGTGTCTCAGAGCGGGTCAGGGGAATTGGGATCCAGGGGCAGTCTATGAAAGGGGTGGGAGAGAGTGATAGAACTATCGCTTGGGGGGGGGTGGTTAATCGTGTAGAGGATCACACCACCTGCTCGACTCCCCATTGAGTCTATTCGGATCAATGAGTAATCTGCAATGGATACTTCGCCATTGCTGTTTTCCAGAGTTAACAGGTTTCTTTGAGGACTAAAGGATGGGGTTTCTTGTCAACCACTAGCTGTTTGACCTCCAGCATCTTATTCGAGATGCTAAGAAATGCACTTTTGGTGCTAATGGTCCAGTTGGGAAAAGTAATACGATGGATTGCCAAATAAACCGTTCTTGTTTGGCTTTGGATTAGAAGGTTTCTTCGTATTAGCCTCCATCGTAGCGAAGTGCAATGCCTCGGTGTCAAGGCTATTGGGGGGTGTTTGGGTCTCGCTGCAGGAGATGTGTTTGTGGCCCTGGAAGATTGTCGTGTCTTGGGAGGGGAGGACGTTGTCGTCGAATGGTGGTCTACTCGCGAGAGGGGGATTACTGACAGACAGCGGAGTTTGGAGTCGATGGCACCCATTTGACTTCTGAGGGCTTCCTTCCGTTGAGTTCTGGCATGCAATGGCCTGTCTGGGGAGACTCCGCCGGCAAGGTTGCATACCCTGTTCAGAGTTCTGGTTTGGGCGAGAACATCTGCCACCGCTGACTCCGAGTTCAAGGTTATAAGGATGCCCCCTTCGTCTTCTTAGATTTGGACCTCTGAAGTGGAGGTCCGACTGTTACTCATGCCCAGAATCATTTCTGTCGTTCAGATTCCTTGAATTACGCTCACGGTAAAACTTGGCTCTTGTTTTCAAGCTGTTCTGAGATCACTTTTGAGGTTTGTGCATGTTTCATTTGCTGATTTAATCGTTTATTATTGCAGTAACGTAGAATCTGGCCATATCATTCTTTTGTGGACGCTTTGGGATCGGATCTCGGCTACACGTTACTCCTTGGTTCATTTGAGAGACAAAACACTAAAAAATCGTGCAACTTCGAGCAACAGAATGTCATTGGGAAAAGGACGTGTGGAGAAGGACGGACAGGAATTAACCCGGCAGTCTCCGGGCAATTGAGGGAGGTTTCAAGTTCTCTCATGCCTATTTCAGTTAGTGCCCTGGATTATGGTGCAGATATTAAGATCCCTGATATTTATCATGATCACATTACGGAATTAGAGAGCGAGATACGGTCGATGAAGCTTAGGGAAGCAGAGTCCAGCCAACCCACCCCGACTTAGCACACTGCCCCTGCGAAGCATAGCGTACCCATTAGGCTCGTGCAAGAAGTAGATGTTATGTAACGTCATCCGGCAACACACACTTTAGAATAGATAGTCCGATGCCTGCTGGCAGATATTCAACAGCCGTGTGGAGAAAGCGGCGGTTATCAGCCGTTTGGGTCGAGAACCAAAACTACATCGAGATGACCGCATTCATCCGAACTCGTGAAAAAGTCACCAGAAGCCATTTTGGACCGTTTGCCAGAAGGGGTAGGCGAGAAGAAGGACACCACACCAAAAAACGAGCCTACGAGAACCCGAGAAACCCCTGGGCATATCAACAATAATGCAACTCTAGGGGAATATGGTGCACCAATATGCATCATGTGCCGTCAGAAACACGAGCTATCAGTATGCAAGAAATTTGTGCAGTTGAATGTTCCGGACCGTTTGGAAGCAGCAAAAGGGCATGGCGCGTGCTTTTTTCACTTAAATGGCTCACATTGTGCGGCTGCCTACAGGAATCGTAGCGGATGCAGCGAAAAGAGGCGTCGATAAAATCATCACAATCTTTTGCATTCCTTACGTTAAACGCATTTATTAGCACTTAGAAAACTCAGCATGTTTGTTATCACAATTAACGAGCAAACAGGTGCATCTAGGGGTTACCCCAGTTGACATATTGACACCTGGGGAGATGGTACGAGATGCTTGCGTGTGCGGTAGGATGTCCCTCGTGAACGAATACACCAGACAAACCACAAGTGGGAGGAGTCTAGGTGTGGGCCGACAATCTGAAAGAGAGGAAAATGCAGACACTATCAACCAAAAGGTCCAATGAGACATGAATACCAGTCACACTCAAGCGGAATGGCAAGTTTCCAAGGTCGTTAAAATAGTGGAGTCAATGGCGTTCATCGACAATGGATCCGAAACCACTCTGATTTCTCAACGTTTTGTGGTAAAGAACTACATAGCACCATCCTCCTTGGCAGTTGGCACGGTGAACGTTATCAAGGTTACAGCCACTGATCAAACGAGCGTGACATTGGTTTTCTTGGTTTCTTTTATCATACATTTCAGCATGCTTCACGCCCCGCTAGCGTGAAGTATACCTATAATAATAATCATAATAATCATTATCATTATTATTAGTTAATGGTTAACGTACAGAGACAACGGAAGTGTACACTATAGACGATCTGCCGATGCGAGCGGTAAAATCGATCGGGGAACTAGCAGCACGCTGTTCGAACTAGTGGAAGGAATTCTGGACGCTCGATTGGCCGTGGCCATTTTCTGTCCTGTGCAAAATGAACTGAACTGACTTGCATTTTCAGGAATCAGATTCTCCTCAGGCCAACCTGCCAATAGGATGCGACGTAGCGGAAGCGCAATGGGTACTGGAACAGAGGCTGGGTGGCAGAAAGGAACACTACGCCACTTGCTCTGTTTTTGGGTGGACGTTATTTGAACCACCACATTCGAACAACCGCAAGTCATTATCCATCAATATAACCCCCACCACTAATAGTGACAATAGGATCAAACGAAGCCTACGGCGGATTTCTGACAGGGTGTTTGACGACCTGAGCGACCAGAAACCGGAGTACTCCAGAGAAAACAACCAGGCACCAGCGATGGTCAAAAGGGTTACGCGCCGCCAACCATACGATTTTGAGGTGCCGTTACCATGGAGGATAGGATACGACCGATTGTCGAATAATCATGGGATAGCCGTAAAGAGATTGGAGTATTTGAAAAGGCGGCTTGTCCGGGACTGTTTTCAACATTTACATTGCAATTCAATTCATCTGAAGACGGACTCAGACATAACAGTATTAGTAGGTTCATAATTAGCATCAGGATTGGACAAATCACAAATTACTTGGTCTACGTCTCTACGACGCTCAGTGCCATCGCCTAGATCCAATATTCAATTTGCTCTTTGTCCTATTTGGTTCAGTAAAACATCTCGGAAGGGTCGCAAATCGATACCACGATGATACGCGACTTCCGCAGACTCCAAACGTAGAAGATTTGTTAGAACTGCTCGACTCTTGAACAGCTTTGCTGGCTTGCGCCCCGCAGTTGAATGTACTGCGTTACGATATTGTATCAGAAAGCTATCAACGCCTATGTCCAGTTCATCGAATGTACTGGGATTCACAGAAGCAATGGCACTCTTCAGTGTGAGCACAAAGTTTTCGGCTGCGACACGGGACTGTGGATGTCGGGGTGGAGTGAGAACATGCCGACAACTTGAAGGATCGCAGCCTTCAGAACGTCGTACGCGTTCCCCTCCGGCGGTTTAAAAATAATATCCCTAATGGCGGGCATTCGGTCTCCAGGGATCGCCTCTGCCGCGTAAACGTAGTTAGAGCGCTGCCTCCGCACGTTACGGGCGATAAACTGCGTTTCTAATGCAGCAAACCACACCTCAGGGTCGTGAGGGATAAAAGCTACTGGCTTAAAACGAACAGCCAATAGGTTCAGTTCACTGTCGTCTACTGGTGGACGCTCCTCGGCCATCGTACAATTGCGATAAATAACTATATCGTGCAAATGAAAATGAACCGTGAGAAACAAGTGCAAACCAAATTGGATTTGACTTACAAGCTAGACGTTGCGAGCTCACCAATAAAGCTAACCGGTGTTGACGGCCTGCCGGTAAGTTTTCTTACGAGTCTGAAATTGCACGCGACCTCCTAGTGTTTTGTTGCCCGAGATAGACAAAAACACTCGTGGGAGTTGTAGACGTTTATTGGCGAATCGTGGTACTAGATAGTACCGAAACGTGCCGAGGTGACGCTAAACAATGCAAGCAATAAATGCAGTAGTGAAGCGAAAGCGTGTCACACTTGTTCCGTGGGTTTGAACAGAACCCAGCTTATATATACACCTGAGCGGAAAACCTTGCTCAGTAAAACAAGCGGAAGTAAAACAAAGAAGTATCACAGTTGGAGTCAGAGTTGATTGTGAAAAAAATAGGAATGGAAAACGTCCTCGTGGATTGCTCCTTTTCTTCGTACAATCATGGTCACTACAAACTCACGGAGTTCAACCAGTCGGATGCTTTATAGCAGTGAAACGTCTTCCATTATCAGTCACGATAGCATGTGGGACACCTTTAATGAACGTTTTCTTGAGTGCTCGAATGATAAATTCTGCACTGGGTGATGTTGTAAATTAGACTTCCGGCCCTACGGGAATAGGAATCGACAATCACCAATTTATAACACGTGTTGAAAATGGACCACAATAATCAGTATGTATTCGTTGCTAGTACTCGGAAGATACTGGTCACGGAGTCCATTTTCAAGGTTGTCTATGAGATTTGTACATAATCAGCACAGGATTTAGCAAAACAATTCAGGTCATGTGTCAATTCAGGCCACCAATAGGTGAGACGAGCAAGTGGTTTCATCTTTTTAATGCCAAGATGACAGGAATGTAAGTCATTCAGGACAGCAGTAGGTAATGTAGGAGGTACAATAGTACAATACACCATCGAACGTCACAGAAACTTCCTCAAGACGTTCATAGAATTCCGAAAGTCAACGCTTAATATCACTTTGCCAACCTCTACGGACACAGGAAATGATATCGCGGTAATAATTCCTGGTCTTGTGAGCTAACTCAGATCGGCTTATCAGGAGCAGTTGATTGAGCAGACAATCATTCGCAGAAGCCTCCTCTAAAATGGCATAGCGCGACAGATAGTCTGCTTGCAGAATGGACTGTGCAATGCAATGATGAATGTCGTAGGAATAGGCGGACAATGCAACACTTCATCGTCGTACCATGGCTGCAGATATCTGCAGCAAAGTTAGATTACTTTGCCAGGGAACGTTGGAAATTATAAATGAACTGCAAGGCTTCATGATTACTCACAGTTGTGAAGTGAGTACCGTAAAGATATTTGTGCATACGAGTGATAGCCGAATAGACAGCTAGAATCTCTCGCTGAGTTTTTGAGTATCCACGATTGACAGCCGTGAGCCCTCGTGAGATGAACAGCACCGGATATCCATTCTGCTCCAACACCGCCCCAATTCCACTAGCGATGCGTCCGTTATGACGGTAGAATGTGATCTTGGGGAAAAAGGATGTAACACAGCACTGATAGATAACAAGGAACCTAACTTCCTCAAGGCATGGACCGAAGTCCACCGAAATGTTTGCTGTGATTGCAAATCAAACAATGGGCAGCTTGAGTGGAAATATTAGCAATAAACTTGGAATAGTATTGCAAAGAACCAATCAAAGAACGAAGTTCATCGAACGATTTGGGAGACGGGGCATTGGTCAATGAAGAAAATAGATCACGGTCCGGATGGAATCTAGATTCATCCACCAAATAACCTAGACAAGAAGGTTTATTCGTCGAAAAGAAACATTTACTAGGGTGAATAGCAACATTATGAGAACAAAATCTTTCAAGCAAAGCACACAAGCGTTCGTCATGTAACTGTCTGCTAGGACCATGAACAATAATATCCTCCTGATAGGCACACACACTGTAAACCGGAAACGATGGAATCAATGGTTGCCTGGAAAATGACGGGGGACACGCTTAGTCCGAACCGTAGAAAGTGGTAGCGAAATAGACCAAAAGGTGTGTTAATAGTCGTAAGTTCACGTGACTTTTCATCATGGGGAATTCGAAGAAACGCATCTTTAATTTCAGACTGGAGAAAAACTTAGATGTATGAAGTTGATGCGGAATGTATTCTGGTTCGACGGTGGCACAACTAGACTGTTTCACCTGCCTGTTCACAGTCACTCGATAATCTCCACATACTCTATGTGTCTTCCTGTCACGCTTTAGTGGAGTAACGATTGGCGTAGCCCAGGCCGAAGAACTCACTGTTATCAGAACTTCCTTTCTGAGGATTTCCTCTAACACCTTATGTACGGGCTCACGAAGTCCGAGAGGGATAAACCGACGTTTCATAAACACGGGAGAACTGGTCGCCTCTAGACTCACAAAAGTCATTTCGATACCACCCTTTGCCTTACAACATTCGAGTACTAAGTGACGAAGACGTGATTGATGAGAGTCAAACATAAATGAAAATGGCAGATGCAAACGATTCATGCAATTCAATCCAATTATAGAAATATGGGAATCAATAACCAAAACGGGCAGCGAAATGTTTGTAATTGATCGTTGAAAAGAAGTAGTTCACATGATTCTAAAGGAGGCAAATAATGACCAGTAACTCCCTCAACTGAAATGTCTGCATGGGAAGGTATAACTGAGAGGGTTAACCGACAAAACGCCTTGTTGGAAAAAAGAATCAACACTACCAATGTCCATGATGAATGTGTGGTGAATGGAGTCATAATTGAAGAAATCACGAGTAACGTGGCGAGAGAAACGTGAACTTGTACTGTAAATCACAAAATAAATCTTTAGAGAAATGAACACTCGTACGTTCTGTAAGACCTGACTTTTACAGACAAATCGAATATGACCAATTATGACACCAGGCATTACTAAATCTACAGGTTAAGAGCGAATAAATTTGACCAGAAGAACTGCACTTGTTCCAACGTTGAATCCGTTGGTCACCGCAGGCTGGAATACTGGTGCTGCTTGGTACTTTCGGGTCCTTTTTAAAAAACCGCTTTCATCGGGATGGTGACTGTTGGGGATTACTGGCACTGAACAACACATGGGGTTCAACACGAACAACGGCACGGAAGTGCTGGTACTGTTCACAGGCTGCCTTAGTCGACCGCAATACGCAATCATGCATGAGCATGAGCTTTCACTGGAGTTCAGGGAAATTAATACCAGTGATTAATGGATTACGTAACTGGATTTGTAGTTGACCTCCGAAATTGCAACGCAATGCATGAGTTTGAAGCTGAAGAATTGGTTGGCTTCCACCACGTGTGAGTGAATGAAATTTGGCTTTTGAAATTCGCTGTTTGTAGATGTTTAAGCAGCAAGGGTTTCAGGACTTCATATGACAACGATATGGGAATGTCAGGGAAAGCCAAATACACCAAAAGGGAATAGGCATCCTTTCCGATGACCGTCAGGAAATTAACCGTTTTGCGTTCTCCATCGAGTCCTTTCCGCGTAATACTCCAAATCTAGAATCGTTCAAGATAATCTTCGACCTCAAGCGCACTGGCACATGTATTGAGGTTCTCCAAATAACAGGAATCCATTGAGTCAAAACGATCGCGACCGCAGTTTTTTAATTAGCACTCGCACTAGTAATTCGTATGCAGGTCTAATCAAAACTGAAGCAACAGGTCCCTGTGAAACACTTGTCGTATGGGCAACAGCATTTATACTGGAGAAAATTTTTTTCAAAACTAATGATAAACAAGTCTTGGAGAGTCTTTATATCCGTGATTTTCCTGAATCGTTTATACTCAGCAGATGGAATGGTTCAAAATGTAGCGGATACTCCCATTTTGTCAGTAGTGGTTGACCTAGACCATGCTGAGTTAAGAGTTAACTAAAGAGAATGGAACAGTTTTTATTAACAACAAATTAACATTGATAATAAGCAAGATGTAAAGTTTGTGTACACTAGTGGTCGATCAGTCTGTTTTTGTTCTTTAGGACTTTTTCGGGTCTCTTCGGCATCGAATCCACCAACTTTGATATAAAGTCATTTTCTATTTTGTGCTCCATTACGTATCGCACTTTTGCCTCCTATGTCCAAAGTATAGGTAGCACACTGACCTCTTTCTTCAAAACATAAAACAGATTTGNAAAACATAAAACAGATTTGTAATCATATTGAGATCCGGGCTCTTAGGGGTAAGTTGCATAAACTGGACCTTAGAGCCACGTATCTTTTCTGAAGTCTAAAAGCAAATAATAAGTGAACCAGACTGCTTAAATAAATAAATTTACTAACCTCTTCTGAGACTTGACACGCAGAGTCATCCGATAACTTTTCCAGACGACGTTTTTTCATGAAATTCTGGAAACATTTTCGTAATTACTGATGCAAATTTCTCACTATTCATGGTGCCTTTGACTGGTGTCTACCGCCAAGGCTGACCATGTTTTATTCCTGCCCAAATGATCATAAAGAAAATATTTTAGTGGATGACAATCGGCCAGTACTGTACGTATCAGAATCCGTGCAGTAACAGTACACCCCAGAACTGGGACTGAAAATTAAATCAGAACACAAAACTCGGCAACGAAATCGAACTGCAATCAACGAAAAGTCGGAATGTACAAGGATATCGCG